TGGGGAAAGGTATCACGGTGCTAGCACTATCCCAATGGTCATTTACTCCACATAAAGGTCAAGGTTCGATTCCTCCCAACCCCCCTTCTCCTAAATTTTATTTATTTATTTATTTTATTTAATTTTATTTTTTTTAAAAATCTGGTGGCTGAAAGTCACTAATTTGATTTGATTTTATTTTGGTGGGTGATCATTGCCATTCCATTAATAAATGTTATGTTTTTGAACTTATTATTTTCTATTATGAATAAACATTAATTGTAGAGTATTACCAAAGATCATTAATTACCAACGAGCCTTAATTTATGTTGTCATTTCTTATTTAATTAGAATTGAGCCTTCTTTGTTATTTGTACAATAACAATGAATAATTTTTCCAATTTTTGTGACTAAATTCTTTTGCGTATGTAATATTTTCCAAACATTAAGTGTAGAGTATTACCAAAGAGCTTTAATTACCAAAGATCTATATAATTTCTTATTCATTTAGTACGTATATTAATAAAATTAATATTGTACACATATTTTAAAATCTACTATCTATTGGAGTCGGAGTCGAATAATGTGTCAGAGTCGGACATTTGTAAAAGTTGGATTTTGTTCTCAAATTTTATGTAGGAACCGACCCTGACCCTCCTCTGACTGAGAGTCGAATTATTTTAACGGATTCAAACTCGGATTACTTTTTTCTTGGACTCGAAGCGGATTTTTTTTTACCTCAGATCAGGGGAGTAGGATCAAATCTAGACTGGATTGCCATCCATGTCTCCCGTTATTTCACAACATTGGACGAATTTTTTTTATTTTATTTTTCTTAACAAATATCTTAAAAAATGTGAAATTTTATAAGACTCCCTATTTGGATTATAATAGAGTATTAATTATATTCCTTATAATATGTACTCCTTATTGATATTTACACACCTTCTACATCGAAAATTGATTTCGTCACACCCTTAATAAGTTAGGTACTAAATAAAAATTGATAGTTGGTCCACGTGTACTGAACAATGTTTGTTTTTATAATATTTGTGATTAATTCTTTTGTGTAAGTCATAATTTCCAATCATTAAATGTAGAGTATTACCAAAGCGCATTTCCTACAAAATACCAAAGAGCTACATCATTTCTTATTAAGTTGGTACAGAGATTAATAAAATTAATATTGTGCATGTATTTTACTAGATAAAACAATAACCTATTCATAGTGTAATACGGTCCAAGATGTGTCATCGTGTGTTCAACGACAATTGGATGAAGCGTCCATGTCTCCCGTTATTTCATAACATTGGACGATTTTTTTTTTAATTTTATTTTTCTTAACAAATATCTTTAAACCTGTGAAATTTTATAAGACCCCCTATTTGGCTTGTAATAAAGTAGTATTTATATTCCTTATAATATGTACTCCTTATTGACGTTTACACAACTTTTATCGAAAATTGATTTTGTCACACCCTTAATAAGTTAGGTACAGAGTGCTAAATACTCGTAAAAATGAAATGAAATTGGGGGAGGGATATGAAAATTGATAATTGGTCCACGTGTACTTAAAAACTTCTAATTGTTTCAATTGAATTTGCGCAAAAATAGAGGTAATGGAAGAGAGGGAGTTGAAAGATTTTGCATGACGTCATCCCATGATCACTTGTCAAAGGAGGTTTCTGGTGATTATGGTCACTCTACGTCCACCATCGAAAAATTTGACTGGACAGGTTAATTGATCTAAGCCAACTATATTTGATTTTTGATGTTGTGTTTGGAAAAAGGTTTAGCCTTTATGTATGTAGTTGGCTTAGATTAATTATAATATGAATTTGTTTCTGATGTCTGTTTTTGAACAATTTACCAGTAGTTTGGTATGGTTGTCTCTGTTTTGAACAGTTTCTTGCTTATTTTGAACGATTTCACCCTTGTTTTGATGATGTTAATTAGAACAATTAAGTATTATGTTAAATATTTTGGATATGATGATCAAGTCCGACTTGTTTTGAACAAAAAAGTATTATATACATCTGATTTATGATGATGGTGTGTTATGGGGTTAAATTGTTAATGTGAATTATGATCAGAGTTATTATATTCATGTTTGGATGTGTTTTTTAGTACTAGTAAAAAGTATAATTAGTGGTTTCCTTTTATTATTAGAGTTAAATGTGAGTTAGGTTGATTTAGATTGGATTTTATATTTGGTTAAGTTTAGATTCGATTTTATCCGACACTTAAAGTAGATGATGACATGTAAGGATTGTTTTAGATTGGCTTCATATTTAGGTTCAATTTTAGATTCGATTCTAGCCACCAATTTTGGGTTCAATTTTAGATTCATGTTTAGGTTCAATTTTAGGTTCAATTTTAGATTCAATTTTATCAGATCGATCGAACAAGTACAATTCTCGAGTTTGGTTTCATGACCGAGAAATATAAATTTCTAGTTTCTAGTCTAATTGATTAAACCAAATACATCACCACTCTCGTTTTTATTTATTACTATATATACGAAATCCTACAACTGTTTCAGTTAAACCACTATACCCTCGTTCGAATCTAGGTGGTGTGTTATTTTTGGTTGTGTTATTATCATTTTAATGAGAATTGTTGTTTTTTTTTTTTCTTTTTTCAAGAAATAAAAGAATTACAAGTATTATGGGCATGAAAAGAAACCTTGAAAGAATTTTATGCAAGAGTGTTGAAGTTAATTAAATAAACATTTTGTCAAAAAATTTCTAGACGAATTTTATAGGATCTCACACACACATATATATATATATGTGTGTAAGTTTTGTAACATATAAACGAAATAAATGAATTAGAAAGTGTGTCGAGAGTATGAAGTGATGAAAAAGAAATATCACTATATTAAAATTATAGGTAATTTGTTGCTTAATTTAAATTATGACCTTTTTATGTCTATACCCGGTAATTGTATCTATAGGCAAAGTATATTAGTTTGACAAAAGACTTGATCTAGTTAGCTACGATCAATTTTTCCGGTAGAAGGAGTTTGCAAAATTAAAAAAAAAAAAACAAATTTGTATTTTTAGTTTAAGAAAATAAATATACAATTCAGTCAGAATTTTAATTAAATCGGATAATTTTAAATCAGATTTTGTTAAAGTCACGCGAAAGTGGAAGGTTGATATTTTTTTTTTTCAAAAAAAGTCCTTTTTTAAAAAAATCGGAATATGTTATTATTGGTATAAAAGAATTTTTTTGGATCTAGTATATCAAGCTCAAGGCACCGTCCCAATTGGTCAGTTACTTGACAACTCTCAACTCATTAAGATACATAAGGTCCAGTTTCCTCCTCTACCCCTTTCCCTCCCAATTTTTGTATTTATTTTTTCATTTCGAAGATGACAATAAATATTTTATGTTAAATTTTTTTTTTGTCTTTTTCAAAAAATGCTCGCAAATTATAGATATACATATTTTTGGGGAAATGTATCACGGTTCTTGCACTGTCCCAATGGTCACTTGCTCCACTACTCTCCACATACCACCAAGCATGAAGGTCAAGGGTTCGGGTCTTCCCAAACCCTTCCCCCCTCAATTTTTTGTTTTAATTTTTTTTATTTATGGTCGCTGAATTTTGCAAAAATTTTTACAGATTAAATTTTTGCTTTTTTATTTATTTATTTATTTTTATTTCGAAGATGACAATAAGTATTTTATGTTAATAACGTATATATACATATTTTGGGGACAATGTAACATGGTGCTAGCACTGTCCCAATAGTCACTTACTCCACTACTCTCTATATACTAACAAGCATGAAGGTCAAGGGTTTGAATCCTCCTAAACCCTTCCCCCTCAAATTTATTTATTTATTTATTATTTTTTTTAATTTATGGTTGCTGAATTTCGCAAAATTTTTAACATATTAATTAATTTTTTGCTTTATTTTTTATTTCGATGATGATAATAAATATTTTATGTTAAAAAGTTTTTTTTTGTCCTTCTTTTTTAAAAACTGTTAACAATGTATATATACATATTTTGGGGGGCAATGTAACACGGTGCTAGCACTGTCCCAATGGTCACTTAATCCACAATTGGCAGCATACTAAAAGCATAAAGGTCTAAGTTTTTTTTTGTGTTTTTATTTTTTGTTTTTGATAAAATTGCTAACAAAGTATATACACCCTCCGTCCCCGAAACAACGATCCATTTGGGTTGATTACGCGAGTATTAAGAAAGTTAAATAAAAAGAAGTAAAGTATATTGAAAATATAAATTTACATGGGGTTTGTAAAAAAATTGAGAGAGAAAGTAATAAATTTACATGGAAAATCAAATTTTTATATGGGGAAGCTAATTTTGCACAAATATTGTTGCAAATTGGTGGGTGTTTTAATGCAAATTGGTCATTCTTTTTGGAACTAAAATTAGGCCAAATGGGTCGTTCTTTCGGGGATGGAGGGAGTATATACATATTTTCGGGGCAATGTAACACGGTGCTTGCACTGTTCCAATGGTAACTTACTCCACAACTCTGAACATAATAACAAGCATAAAGGGCAAGGGTTCGATTCCTCCAAACCCCCCCCCCCCCCCATTTTGTTTCCGTAATCTACGGTGGTTGAACGTTAATAAATTTATAAAAGACTAATGTTGTTTGTCGAAATATATATACCTTTTTTTGGGCCAATGTACCACCGGTGCGAGCACTGTCCCAATGATTTTATAGTACACAACTAACAACACACTAGCAAACATCACGTCAACTGGTCAAGGGTTAGATTCTTCCCCAACCCCTTTCCACCCAAATATTATTATTATTATTATTATTATTATTATTTCTTTTTATTAAAGCACCACAAACATAGTCAATTTATAATTGTGGAATAAATTGTTCTACTCAATAACTATTATTATTGTGGAATAAATTTCTTATAGTCAATTAAATATTGGGCAACATATACTCAATAGCTGCATATTATATATGGACTAAAATTTTATCCTTCCATCCGATTCGATAACAATCATGCAAACCTACAATCGTTCGATACAACACGAGATGTTTGTAGTTCTACAGAACCTTAAATAACAACGTACCATTCATTACATAGATTTTATTACAAACAGATTAGAAGTTCAAATTGGTAATTTAATATTACATCACCATAGGATATTGATTTTTAAATCAGTCTAGGACGTAGCATCTACACATAGAGCATTAATATGATAGTCGGATGGAGAATAGGAGCCCACAAACTCTATGTCAAGCCAATTCAGATAAGGAAGAGCAGCCAACAAAATTCCTTAGCAATTCATCATCAGCAGGGATAGCTGCCTCAACATTAGCATGTTTTCCAGCTTTTTTTATTTGTTGTTCGCTTGATCTGCTTAATAACATTAGAGTTGGGTTAGGGTAATAGAAGAAGATAATTTCATGAATATAAAGAATACAAGGTAAGGCAATTCCATTTGGTTTAATGTATGAACTGACCAGAATCATTGGGGTTTGTTCAAAAGGAAATTCCTTAGAAACACTTAGTCTTCGCTTGACCTGTTGAGGCAATCATCGCGATAGTTTACATCTACCAATACATAAAGGGAACATTTAAAAACTGAACAAAATATAAGATTTGGACAGACCGTTTTTTTTAGGAGCAGCAACGGGTGCAGAATTCTGAATCTGAGGTTGAGTTTTGTATATTGTCTCTAAGGACTTGTAATTAGACCCCTTTGTAAGACCTTGAGGTTTACTTGTTATCTTAGGATCCTGAATAGGGTCAGTGTTGTCATTGTTGACATTTGCGTTAGGTTCTGAGACAGTTGGAGGAGTTACATCAGCAGCATCAGTGTCTCACCAGATCTCATATGATTGGATGTTGGTGTGCGGATTAGTAGGTGGATCCTTCTTTCCATGAGGTTGTTTTTTGTACCTTGTCTCCGCAAACGACTTATACTTAGACCCCTTAGGATCCTTAAGAGGTTCATCCCTGTCATTTGTGATACATTTTGTGACAGAAGGAGGGGTTACAACAGCAGCAATAGCAGTGTTAGACCCGATCACAGATGGAGTACTGATGTTGCTGTTCGGCATAGATGGTGAATTCTTCTTTACCTGGAACATAAGCCTAGACTTTCCGACATCAGTGGACAGCTCGGTTAGCCTGTCTAAAACCATATCAACAGTGGAATCATCAACTGTAGAAGCCTCTACACAAATAGCTTCAAACTTGTTCATCATTCGGTTAAAACATTTACATTCCACCGTCTCAATGTCCTTCACCCGTGTGTGGCTTCTGACAATGTCCTTTATCCACCTGTCTAGAATGTACTTTTCTGGAATCTTTAAAACATTGTTTTGGTCTAACACACGCATGCAATGCTTGCAAAGTATTCCAAAAGTTTCAAACTTCTTACAATCACAAGATACATCATTCGTTTCCTAATTGTAGGTCACTATATATGTAGAACCTACGGCGATAGGTTATTTTTTCCTGCTTAGATCCTTCGGGAATAATCCAAATCCTATCCTCTAACAAATATTGGACCTCATGTCTCCTAGGAGTCGCTCTTCCCTAGGGTAAACATACATCAAACATGCGCACTCTGTTTGAATTTATTGAAATTTTTAGTCAGTATAAATTTTCTGAAAAAGCTTCTCCACCTTAAACCCACTTACAAGACAGCGTACGTACTTAGAACACCTAGCATCCGCATCGATTTCGTCCTTTACCCTCTTTGTCATGGCCTGTTATACTTCATAGGGAACTCATGTAACATTGTTTTCCTATTGACGAAACCGTCAAAGAAGCTATCAATACTTTCAACCCGTTGAGTCGTTTTCATTCCCGCCTAAAAATGCTCTTTCATGAAGGACGGAACCCACATATGCCTCTCATTATAAAGGTTAGATAACCAATCATTTTCCAACAAGTAATGTTTAGTGATGAGTTAGTTCCATCTACTCTCAAATTCCTATGTTGTAAAACTCTCGTAAATAAGAGTCTTTAGGGGGCTTTTAATGTCATTGTAACTGAATCCATTTGGTCAAATAGAATAATCATAAGGTGTAATAGAATTAGGAAGACATTATTCACAAACCAGTGGATCACATATGCCAGAGAAGGTTGGCATTAAAGGACTTATGATTACTATCACAGTAGAGATATTGGCAGGTACAGAGTACTACATCATTTTACCAGACAACAGAAGTATGAGCCTTGTCAACATAGTGTATGCAGAGTCCATCAGAGGGGAAAAAAAATGAACAAAACAATATTCAAATATACCATTTCACAGCAACAATGCTTTGTTTAAAGAAACAACATTCATGAGAGCATACACATACAGTCACTAGTAGAAAAAGGCAGAAAGGCACCGCGCAATTACCCCTTAACGATCCAAGAGATCGTAAACTCCATAAGATCTAGAACCAAATAAGGGTTCGGGGATGAAGGTACAAATCCAACCTAAAAGAGATTGAACCTGCCCTAATAATAGGCCTCTACTTTATTCTGATCGTATTCATGTGCACTTTCTGATTAACATGCAATCAATAGGATTAACCCTAAACCTGTTTATTTATGTTGGTTGAATATAATGCACAAATAAACTATTATTGGCGATCACTTGAATTATAATCACATTAACCCTAAACAAGATTATTAATTATCTTATTAAGCGTGATTACAAGTACTAATTCCCTTTAATCATGCAATAAAAGGCATGATCAAGCAATAACAATAAATATCAAGCAACATAATAATAATCATGACAATAATAATCATGAATAATAATTATAATCATCATTATAAAATTATAATCATAATCAAAACAATAATAATCATAAATAAAATAATCATCATCAAATAATAATAATAATAATATTCATAATCATCATAAATTACAACAATTATAATCATAATCATATTCATGTTAATATTAAAGCATAATAACAAGATCCTAGGCATGATACTAACAAGATTAATAACAAACCCTAGCATGTCACTAAATAATAAAAATCAAATCTTTAGCCCTAACATGATACTAACAATCATAAATATTAGGAAGAACATAGGAAGCATCATAATAATCATTATATTTAATATTAAAATTACCCTAGACATGATACTAGGAATATCATAATAACAATATAAACATGATTTCTACATCATAACATCAATAAAAACAATTAAAGCACTTACTTTGATGTTTCGTACCTCTTTCTAATAATAAAATACACACGTTAGTAACTTCAAGGAAAATAATAAACAAACAATTAAATTAAATAATTGAAATAGAGATTTGGGACCAAACCCTCAGAAATTAAACCTTTCACGTCTAGGGCGAAGGCAACTTCGAATATGGCTAGGTGTTTCTAGATCTTGTGAATACGGAATTTTGTATAAAAAAGCAAGTTTAGAAAAAGAGAAAGAGAGAGAGAATAATCAAGAAAATCTTGATGAGAGTTGGTGAAAATAGAGAGAATCGGTGATTGTAGGTGAATAATAATTAAAACTGATTGTTGATGAGAATTGGTGAGAATTGGTGATTGTAAACGGAGTTTTTAATACGTTATTTATAGAGAAAATCAACCAAAAAAGATAAAATAAACAAAACAGAGTCTGACGCACAAAAAACAGAGTTGGCGCAACCCCTGACTAATTGGCGTTAGGCGCCAATGGCTAGCGCCAGGCGGCAATGCCTGGGGTCAGGCGCCAAGCCTGGTTTTAACGCCTTTTCGAAAATCAGATAAGTTTGCCGTACTGGAGGATAAAATCATATATAGTTTCCTCGAAAATGCTATTTGATTTTGATTAAAACTCTGAAAAGTCAACAAAAGTCAATTTATCAATGCTAATTGAATTAGGAATGAAAAGAACCTTCTAGAAGAATCTAGAAAACTAAAACCATTCCTAATTGCATTAGGAATGATAAATCATATTAGGCCCTCCCCTAGATCATTGGGCCGCATATAAGGTTCAAAATGGGCCCAGTTTAGTAAATTGGCCATAACTTCCTCAATATTCATCGAAATTGGGCTTATAATATATCGTTGGAAAGCTCTTGTCAAGCCCCATCCAACTACACTATTATTGGACCCATATCATGGACCAACCAAACTGGATTGGCTTTTTTCTTAAAATAAGTTTTCAAAAACAGAGAGAAGAGAAAAGAAATTAAAACTATCTGCAACACTAGACTTTCCACACTTTCACTTCATTGGATTATGATTCGACGTGAAAGGTACTCATCACCGGGTTTGGTTTTGGGGAGACACAAATGGGTGTCTACAGAAGCCCCCACTTTAACTGAGTTTGGAGAAACACGAGTTTCAAAAACAAAAGTCAAAGTAGCGATAGGGACGGAGAATGATTCAGAACGTTCTGCGATCCTAAATCACTCTTGTAACTCCGATACCTGCAAAACTAGCGTTAGTTAAACAGATAAATGAGTTAAGAAACGCGTATCTTGCACCGTCGAGCACACGTCTCTGAAAGTAACCGATTGCTGTTGTATCCTTGTTGTTTTGATGACATCCTGCAAGCTAGAGAATACCATCCCGCTTGAAAACTGCTACGCCCGTAGCTGCTTCCAAATTAGAAGATTGCTTCACCTTAAACGATCCTCCTCCGCTATGATAGTATTCCATGTCCAAGGAAATACTATCGAAGATTATTTCTCTCGAAATTACCTTCAGTTGTTTGTGACAACTCTCCACAATCTAGGGAACGTCACCTTGCTGTTTTGATGTTCACTCGTCTCTGAACAAAGAGCTTCTTTTTGATATGATCTTCTGAATGATGTGTCCACACATCTCTGAACGAAGAGCTTGATAATAGGATGCTCATGCGTCTCTGAGCAAAAGAGCTTGCAGGAAATGTCCACGCGTCTCTGAACAAAAGAGCTTGAAAAGGATTGTCCATGCGTCTCTGAACAAAAGAGCTTGATTGATATGCCCACGTGTCTGTGGAGCAAAAGAGCTTGATGGAAATGTTCACGCGTCTCTGAACAATAGAGCTTCGGTACTTGAACGTTTGTTGCGATAATGTCTTGAAGAAAAAATTTCCGAAGACCAACGTTTATCGATCTCTAAAGCTCGCCTGAACTTTATTTCCGCTAAAACCAGTATGTCGGTGTCTCCGTGATTAGGCACTTTAATCTAAGTGAGACGATCTTTCATCAGGTCGATCACTTATTGCAATTTTCATCAAACTGACTACTTAATCATGTCAAATTGCTTATAGGGGCTAACTAGCGTACCAAGGAACCCAAAATTGCTGTATGAGGTCAAAATCACCTTTCTGAGAGGCTTCGAGCTCTGTCGCTGCTGAAATATCTCTGGCGCCAAGAATTGGAGTAGGGTCCTCCCTATTCTGCTGCACAGGTATTTATTTTTGACTATAGAACTTTGCCAATCTCTTTAATTATCTTAGGGTTAACCTAAGGCTTAAAATTATCTTAGGGTTAACCTAAGGTTTAATGTTGCTTGACTCATCGACTTGACACGACTCAAGGTATAAACTTGACTCGATGTGATTGACTCGAGGTTGACTCGACTCGAAGTGAAATGACACATGTGTTAGACTCATGACCCGTGTGTGCATAGTGTTGATTATGCGACTCGAAAATGCAAAAAAGCAAAATTTTTCCGTCATTTTTGTGGAGGGTACCGACTTTCTCCCGAAAAAGAAAGACGTGAAAAAGAAGAAGCGAAGTTTGAAGATGCATGTTGAATGAGCTTAGTCAGATGTTGTTTGATAC